TCAGTCATATATATTTGGGGGGATGTAAACATTATTGCCTAAAGTACCTTATATACATCTGATAGCTGATCATAGCAAAGAGCTTTAACAATCTAGAAAGGTAAAGCTGATAAAGGGGGACCATATTTTGGTTTATTTTATTTAGTCTTAAATTATATATTAATATTTTTAATGTAAACTTAGTGAATACGAGCTGGTATAATCATTATTTTACATAAGTAGTCTCGTCTCTTTAGGGGAAAAAAAAGTTGAGTTTTAGATCATTGTTATTTCCTTGGGAAGTTCTCTAATATTTTATGGGTATAGCATAATAGATCACAGGGGCTTTGAAATACTGGTTCCCCTTGGAATCTTTTCCACTTGATAAAAATAATTTCTCCTGGAAAATTAATTATTTAAAGATACAATGAAGAAAAAATCTATCCTCAGGAAGCGAAAATTTAAAATCCAGTGTCTTTAAAACAACAAAAATGTGCCAGGAAACGAATTGGAAATAAATCACAGAAAATGTGCCAATGTGTGCAAATGGATGTGTGTATCTCTCATATATGTATTTAAGAGCACGAATATATATATGCATATACATACATATACATATATACACACATACACGCAGGTTGCATACACACATACCCACTTTGCTGGGCCTAAACATGCAAGTTATTTTAGGGCTTCAACTCTTCAGAAAAATCTCATTATGTGAGGAGCGGAGTGGCTCTGCGGGGAGCATTATGGAAATATCTGGGCTTGATTTAATGAGGCTGTTCACATTGGTGGAATATCAACCTAACAGAGAAAAGTCTACCCAGGGCGTCCAAGTTACCAAAATGAAAATTGCCAATTGAGATGATAAGAACGTGGCTTTCTTCTGCGAAATCACTTCAGGTAACAGAGATAACATTAAATAACATACATTCTATGCACCAAGAACAATGTTTTATGTACCGAGTCTCTTATCCGTCTCTCCTAATGACTTCCCTTAGCGGGTTGTTAGTACTTGACAGCAGGTCTCCGTGCGGGGAACTTTTCTCCAATTCCACATTCAAAGGAGGTCCATCAGAGAGCATGATTGGCAATTTTCGTCATAATCTGCACATTATTAGCATCAAAATTGACGTGGCAGTTAACACTGGCGGGTTTTGATGTACCTTTCTTCAAGTTCAAGGAAACCCCCCTGTAGCCAGGGTTGGCAGAGCAGGTCTCAGCAACCCAGCGGTGGCTTTGCAGAGAAGAAGGCAGCAGGCATGCGTGAGAAATAAGCCAAGGACCGTTTCACCCGAGGAAAAGGAAAACAAGGAGAGGAGGGGTCGTGAGGAACGCAGAGTTGGAACTCAGAAAAGTCTAAGGGAAAAAATTTCAGGGTAACATCGTGTATCTAGGGATTCAAGTATTTCCCAGATCGAGTGGAACTCGACAGTTGGAAAACTGAGATGAAAATGCCTCTCCACAAGCTCCAACGACCTGTCAGCGTGGCCCGCGCCTCCTCTCCTCTCCCTTCCCTTGCCCGGCCTGGCTGTGGCAACCTCCATCCTCATGACATTTTGCACCAAATATGCAGAGGGAAAAAAAAAAAACCAAAACAAAACGAAAACAAAAACAAAACCCTTCCCTTCCCTAAGCGCTGACAGCAGAGGGGACAGTGGTGGGAAGGCCGCCGGCCTGTCCCCGCCGGCTTTGTCCGCTGTCCGGGTCCCAGCCTTCCCCGCCTGCCCCCCGGCTTGCCGCCCCTCCAGCCCCCGCTCCCTCGGACAAAGGCCCCGGCGAGCTGTGGCTGAGAAACCTGCCTTCTCCGTCCCCCACCTTCCCCGGCCCGTTCCAAGACGAGCAAAAGAGCAGCAGCGGGACCCCGGGGGCGACGCTCGCTCGCTCGCCCCAGTGCCCCCTCTCCTTCTGTCGGGGCGCCCCACTGCTTCAGGCCGCCTCCCGGGGTGACGAGGACCCTGGGACCGGACACCCCGGAGTCTGGGCGGCGTGGGGAGCCGCGTCCGGGAGAGCGGGGGTCCAGCCGGGCGGGGGGGGGGGGCCCGGCGGGGCCTGCAGAGTGGGGAGGGGGGGCGGCGAGGAGGCTGGAAATACAAAAATAGAGATCATTTGGGGGGACCCCGCCAGGCCTTCCCGCAGGCTCCCTCCCCCCTCGGCCCTCTCTCGCCCTCCCGCGCCCCGGGGCGCCCCCTAGCGGCGGCGGCGGGCCGAGGGGCGGCTGGGGGAGGGGAGCCCCGACGGGGCGCACGCCGGGCGGGCGGTGGAGGGGGACGGGGAGCCCCGGCGGCGGCGGCGGCGGCGGCGGCGTAGTTATCTGGTGAGCGGCGCCTCGTCCCTCTGGTCGGGCGGGCTGAGCACGGCGGTCTTGCTGAGCACGGCGGCCGAGTAGGGCAGGAAGCCGCTCTCGGAGCGCGGCGCCGCGGCGCCGCAGCCGAAGTCCGAGCCGCCCGCCGCCCCGGCTCCCCCGCCGCCGCCGCCGCCGCCTCCTCCTCCTCCTCCTCCTCCTCCCCCCCCCCCC